AGAAAACAATATGGGATATATGAGATGCAAGCACTCATCCAAATGTTGGTTCTTGAGTAACAGAACATAATCAATATATCTAAATAACATAAATGGTATCAATTGTACTTCACCAGATGAGCATTTCGACAATTAATGGTGTATGTGTTGTAGGATGTAATTTGGTTCTTCACAGAGTAAGATTTTTCATGTCCCACAGGTTTAAAGTCATATGAAACTTCAAATTTAAAAAAAAAAGTGTTACTCTAAAAATGTGAACGTGAACCTATATTTTCCCGTATGCAGTGACCTTAACTACGAGACCTTTCGTTATAACTTCGGCTACCGCACAGCGCAAGTGCGAGGGGAAAACCATGATTTAAGAATGTAAAAAAAAACGTGCGCTTGAAGGTAAATAGTAATAACAGATTCTTAAACTACAAATTTAATAAAACAAATCATTTAACAACTGTTAAGGAAAAGTTTGATTAACAAATGGGAACGCATGGAAAATATAAAAACAAATGTCATGGCTCTTACAACTCACGTAACTGTCACGTTTTCCACGTGCTATGTTTTTGTTGTTATTCAATGTCGCGATCCGCTAAACTTAGGCAAAAAACTCGAAAATTAATAAGCTTGCGATTAACAATCACTGAATGAAATATTATTTGTCGATAATACGTTATAGATGTGTAATAAATATAAAAAATACGCGTATGCGAGTGGTTTTCTTATCTTATAGATTGCTAGTATTCATTGTATTACACTTTCTTTCGAATGACATCTAGGCCTTTAAATGGTCACCATAGATACATACTTGTACTTCAATATTTTCAAACATGGGAACAAATTTATTGCATAAAATATGTTTCGATCAAGGTAATATCGATCAATTAGAAGCATAGTTTTTGCTTTCCATAAATGTCATTGAGGATGGATTTGACATTTTGAGGTTTCTGTCGCTGGTATGTGTACATGATGTAACAGAACAAGAAAACAAATGCAAGCTTCAGTACCAAGTCAGGAATATGACACTTGTTTTTCATTCGTTTGATGTGTTTGTGCTTTTGATTGTGCCATTTGATAAAGGACTTTTCGTTTTGAATTTTCCTTGAAGTTCGGTATTTTTGTGATTTTACTTTTTTCTGTTTATACAATATCATGATGTTTCTATATCATAAGAGTATTAAGTATTAAAATATTTACGTGTAGTATTATATTTCTAGTTCTGAACCGATAGTTTAAGTTTTAGAGTTTCGAAATATAATTACTAGAGAGTGAACAGATATGTCATATACCAAGTCAGGAATATGACAGTTGTTTTCCATACGTTTGATGTGTTTGAGCTTTTGATTTTGCCATTTGATAAGAGACTTTCCGTTTTGAATTTTCCATGGGGTTCGGTAATTTTGTTATTTTACTTTTTTAGATAATAAATCAATTACAAAGTTTAAAACATTTAAAAGGATTTTTTTTTAAATGTTATGCAAAGTTTTCATATGACCATCTATATACGCGGTAGAAAAACGTAAGTTTTTCATTTTGCTATACGTTGGTTCTCGCGTCTGACCACACTGGATTCCAACTTATAGTACTTGCAAATAAGTTTCCATTTCTTTTGTTACAGACATTCTTTTTAGCTGCTATGGTCTGCTACAGCGCATTCCTTCTGACAGAACTTGACGACTTTGGAGGATCTATTAAGATTTATGAATGGATTGTTTACGTCTTTTTCCTTGGTGATATTATCGAAGAATATCGACACTTGGTATGATTTTAAATAATGTACTTATTTTTTATATGACAGCAATTAATAGATATATGTAGTAATCTTGATTTGATTGTGATTAGAAAGAGACAGTCAAGGTAACAAAAAACAACTGTTGGAATTGCATAAACTCCAAAGGAAGACCAGAAGGGCCGACAGTGAAAACATCTCTCTTGACATGCATGCATCGTCCGCATTCGAATTCACAGAAAGTCAAAATATCATAATCGGGTATAGGCCACATTTATTTATTTTTTTTTTTTTTTTTTTAGATTTAACAACTTTACAGTTATTTTAAAATATAAAGCCGCAAAAACGTGTCTCTAGTGAGTTGAAACACCGAAACATCGTATCTGTCAACCAATTCTTGATGGGCAATCATAAACTTATGAAGTGTCTATTTCAGTCGTGTCTCCACATATCTCTGTTGTGGCATTTTTTATATAAAAAGCACAACCCTGTTAAAGAGGTTCGTATAGTGTAAATATACCCGAGTGTAACGTATAAACTGAAATATTTAAACGCCATACAAAGCAGCAAAGGGTATGTAACAGCTTTGAAATGATAATTGTACAATTGGAAAATACGTTCATTTAAAATAATAGTCTTTGAAGTAAAGACAACAGTAGCTCATTTATTTTGAGTTTATCCTACATCTGTTGAGACGATACATTTTAAGGTAAAAACTAAACTGAGGGAAGAATTTTAAAAAAATGCCGAAACCAGTTACGTCATCAGTGTGCATGTGACCATTGCCTGCTATGCATGCGAAACGGTTAATGAAGTCCGCATAGCGTGAAAATGTATCACGTGTTACAACATACATTTGTCCGAAAATACTAGTATACGAAAAACCATTTATAATGAATCTTGTAATTATTTCAATCTCCAGTTGCATGGCACAGACTAAGCACTCCATTTGTAAGGTTGATATAATGGTGTGCTGAATAAAACCATGTGATTCATGTAGGAGATGTTGTTATTGATACCAATGACGCATGAATTAGGGTCTTGATAAGAACCGTAATGGAATACGTTGAGGCCACTCAGGAGTAAAAAGACAAATATCAATAAGCTGTTTGTATTCGTGTACATGTGAATCGTAGGAGATACTTCTATACCTCGATTCGACAGCAAGCCATCGGAACACAAAATACATCTAAAAATCAACATACTGTTTTCTACAATCGTCAAATTTCAATACAATATGTCAATCTCTTACTTGCTTCGTGTAAAAAAAGGTCGTGAACAAATTATACATACACAATAAAAGATCTGAATGCCAGCAGCGTCGCATGTCTTTAGGGCAAAATAGTAAAATGGACATGCACATGAACAGGTACCGAGCTTTAACTTGTCCTTTCTAAACTCAATAAGTACATAAAAGTAATTTCAGTTAAAAGGATTTCTCATAAAGTTTGTCATTTTATAAATATTTGTTTATTAACTTTCTACAGGTTGTATTATTCTTCCTTAAAAATCCCTCTTGTTAAAATTGCATTAACGGTTTAAACTACTGTGTGATATATTTATATATAAATATATATCCTGATTATTAACGTTTCTAAAGCAATTACTGTATGTCTATCCGTCCGTTAACATCTTTATGTCGTGATTGAATCCGAACAGCATTTATATCAATAACAAGAAGATCCTTGTCGATTTATTATCAAAAAAGGGGAGAATATTTTTGTAAAAAGTAATACTTTTTTTATTAAAAAATTCACAAAGTTTGTGAAATATCTATTTGAGCTAGAGTTTTAATGGAAAATGATGATTGATTGCGTGGGTTTCAAATTAGAGGCGTGTGAAAAAAAGTATAACAGAAAAAGAGAATCCAGACTTGTTACGATCGGAAATAAATCGCAATTAAAAATTTACAGACCAAGCTAGGAAATCGATCCCACGCTTCAATCAATTTAAGAAAATACATTGTATATTGTAAAATAAATTTTATTTTCGGTTGAAAAATAAGACGTGGTATGATTGCCAATGAGACAATCATCCACCAGAGATCAAATGACGTAGATGTAAACATTTATATGTCACTGTGCGGCTTTCAATGATGAGCAAAATATATAGTCTTGGCTAGTCACTCATTGTTTTCACAACCAAAATAACGTGTTGCTATCTTTAATGATCAATTTTGATTGAAAATTAAAAAATCCTACTGTTAAAAAATAATCTTAACCTTTTCAAGGAAAACATCACTTTAATTTTACTGAGCTATCTGACAAACAAAAGATTGAGTCTCAAATATATCATGATTTATTAGAATGTGACCATTTTAGATCAAAAACGTGTTCTTTTCTTTAATAATTCGCCTTGGCTTATGTGCCACCTTTCGGGGATTTTTTTTTTTTTATAAATACTGCATTAATTCTTCACCATAGTGCACAGTATCAATAAGGAAGTTGAACCATTTTGACAGACATATTTCTATTTTTCTGATTTTGTAAGACTGATCATAATACAACGGATATTTTCACAGATTTAACAGTTGAGGTGTATCAACTTGTTTTCACAATCCGATACCTGATCTTTAACGATCCGATTATAATGCCTGGTCACCGTGACTGATGCTTTCACGATATTTTTTCTCGATATACCGAAGGACAGCCGTGTAATTGGTATGTTACAAATCTCGGTTGTAATGAATTTGCCAGCTAATGTCTCTTTGATTTCTGCAGGTATTGTTGAATGTAACTAGTGTTTTAATTGGTTTTCTTCTTCAAAATAAGACACAATGATGCACAACAAAAACAAATTCAATATCTGATAAGTGGGACAAACAAATTAAAGAGAGTTACACTTAGATTTATTTGAATGAATTTGTTGCCAAATAAGAAGTTTTTTTTATAATAATGGTATGTAGTGTAGTAGAATAGTATATAGAGACGAAAAATCAAAAGTGTCTCACCGGAGACAAACTGATCTTCAACGGAAGTACCTTATCCAAGACTTAAAGGGTATTTTCAACAATCCAGCATGCTATTATCAATTTAAGCTTTGTCACAATCTTTGATAACACGTATTAACAATCATTTTCTTAGAAGAAATCGTTAACAATGTTAAAAATATGGTATTCCATATTGTCTGTTCGTATAAACACATTCTCTCTGTGCTGATGAGCACAAACAAATGAAGAAAGTAATTTTAAACGCACCATGTCAGGGGAATATCTAATAATGAAATTAGAGAAAGTTAGAGACAAACTTGGCATGTTTCTTTTCAGATACTAAAAGAAGAAAGTTTGTTGACGAAAATAAGTCAACCTCTTCGCGAAGAAGATAAAAGATATCTGTCACCATTACGCCATACCTGGTGGTACGGTTTTAAAAAATATTTGTACAATTTCTGGAACTTCTTTGATGTTATATCGTATTCTATAACAATCATTGCCATGTGTTTTCGATTTTCCAATTCGACACCTTTAAACCACGCTTTTGCCAGACGGGTTTACAGTTTAAGTTTGTTTACAATGTATATGAGATTTCTTCATGTCATATTGATGTCAAGGAAACTAGGACCAAAGATTATCATGATCAAGGAAATGGTAAGTCTTTTATATCTGCGTTGTATAATTAACAAGACTAAGTACTTTGTTCGTCATACAGTATTCGTACAAGCTAAACTCTTTTAGTGGCGCCAGTTCTTAAAACAATTACTGTAAACCCCTGGGTCCCAAACGGACATAAATATCCATCACTGGCCGAGTCCCAAAAGGACAAATATATCCATTTTACATAGTTATAAATAATAATCGAGACGATCTAGACAAAATGTATAAGATAAACACTTATTTTAATCTTGTATTTCACAAACTGTTTTTTCCGCATTTTAAATAAAATATATCCAGGCAACGAATTGAATAAACTCATTATAGATGTCAGGATTAAAATTATGTATGGTATACGCGCGTTTCGTCTACAAAGGATTTTATTATTGACGCTCGAGTCAAAAACGTTAAAAAGGCCAAATACTAGTAGGTACGAAGTTGGAGAGCATTGAGGACGCAAAATTCAGAAATGTTTGGCCAAATTTAGATTATCTATTCTCCGTGTAGAACATTTCATAGTATTTTGAAAAATTCACAATTTTGTAAACAGTAGATTTACAATTATGACCATATCAATGATAATTCATGTCAACACAGAAGTGCTGACTACTCAATATAGACTGGTGATACCTTCGGGGAGGAAAATACTCCACTAGCAATGACATCGACTGAGCATTAAATAAACGCATCATAGATACCAGGATTAAAATTGTGTACGCTAGACGCGCGTTTCGTCTTCAAAAGACTACTGGTGACACTAGAATTAAAACAAGTTTAAAGTCCAATACGAAATTGAAGAGCATTGACTAATACCATCATTGACCACAACACTGCTTGGTCTAGGGAGGAGAGAATCACTAGGGAAAGATTTTGAATAAGAAAATTTAAAACGTTGGCACCAAATGGGATCAATGAAAATATGTAGAGCTATTCATTTGGGTTGTATAACTAAGCAGTCTCTGTTGTAACTCCTTGACCTACGTCAACTCGGAAATTCTAGATTTATATCAATTCAAAACACACAGGGCTATTCATTTGGGATGTATAAATACTCAGCCTCTGTTGTAATTACTAAACCTTCGTCAACTTTGAAAATTTTGAATTTCGAACAGTGCTATTCATTGGGGATGTAAATCTATTCAGTCTCTGTTTTAATAACTTAACTTTCGTCCCCTGTGAAATTTTAGAAGTATTCCAGCTCAAATCGCACATTACTATTCTTTTGGGATGCATATCTTTGCAGTCTCTGTTGTCAACACTTAACTTTCGTCAACTTTGAAATATTAGAATTAAACAAGCGTGATTCGGTTTTCAAAATTCTTTTTAGTAATATCAGAATAAATTGATAAGATTCATTTTACATCATACTGATGAAGGATATCGGTTAACCGAAATATTTATTGATAATTGTATTTACTGTTTCCTTTTTTAGTATTGGTGTTGTTTGTACACTTTTTTAGACGTATCTATTGTGTACAGTATCGTTTTGTTTTTCATAACGATCCAGCGCCATCGTAAAAAAATTTGTCGACTAATATCTAGACGTTCTATATTTATATGTATGGGCTAATAAACATGATACACGTATAAAGTCATTGTCTACTCTTTTATACTTTACTTGATTAAATAAGAAAAGAAGAACATCTGACAATAGAGTGCTTTATAAAATTCAAAAAAAAAAAAATCCGTGATAAAGTTTCAATTTAAAAAACAAAAGTTACATGCCAAAACCGACTTTGCCAAAATGGGGGAAAGTCGGCATCTCTTTGTTGTTTATAAGTGAAATTCAAAATAACTCATCAGTACACACTGTGTTTAAATCTATATCTTGCATTTTTGCTTATGTTAATTTCAATGCTCTTCAATTTTTTATTTACTTTTTCGGAGGCTTCCAAATGCTTTAATTCGAGCCCACTGATGGATCTAATGTAGACGAAATGGGCGTCTGGCAAGTTATAGGCCTTGTATTCTTTTCTACAATGATTAGATTACTTCATGATGTTTGAGGCTCTAAAGAGCCCCGAGTCTAAAACAGTTCTAAACAATTTGTACGGAGGGTTTAAAAAAAATCAGTAAATATTTTGGTCTCCTTCTTTCTACATCGATAAGTAGAAATAATTTAAAACAAATACTGGGAAGTAGCACGCTTTGCACATGGCAAAGATCATATTATTACAAATGAACCTTTACAATTAAATAGAAATTTGGTATAAAAATGATATTCTAACCTTTCACATAAGATCATATAGTGAATAACAAAAAATATATACAAAAGAATAATCTAGAGCTTGACATATTGTGTATAAAGCTGTCTATTGTTCAAGACTGTAAGTTTTTTGCCTATTATGCTGTCTGGTTACTTTCTTATTAACGTTTAATCCAAATCTCAGTTCCCTCCCTATTGAAATTAGACTTAGAAGTTAACCAACCCCACATCCTATATTCCCGAAAAACAAAAACATTAAACAAAACAAAAACAAAAACAAAGTATATACTCAAGAGTGTTATTTATTTATCAACTTTTGGTAAAAATGTTGTTAAATTGAAATAAATGCAAAATTGGTTTAAAAGATTATTAGAAAACTTCTTATTGATCTACTTTGTCCAAAACAAACAGCATGAGATTTTCGAGTAATTTGTCTTTTTCGGATTCATCCCGTTGTTTTTCTTTATTTGCTGTAGAACTTTGTTATCACTGATTCTCAATTGTTAAGAAATGGTTAAATAACCTCCATTCTAACATCTCAAATTCATGTAAATTACATTGTTCATTCCATTATAATTGAAAAGAACTTGTGAAAGAGAGGCGAAATATACCAAAGGGATATTCAAACTCATAAGTCGAAAACAAACTGACAATGCAATGGCAAAAAAAACGAAAAACAACGCAAAAACATACAACACAAAACACAACATAGCAAACTAAAGACTGCGCAACACGAACCCCATCAAACACTGGCGGTTATCTAAGGTGCCCCGGAAGGGTAATCAGATCCTGTTCCAGATGTGGCACCGTGTAAAAAGTGATATGATCGAGAAATTCATTGTACATAACACTTGTATTTGATATGGAGCAATTACTAAAAACAAAAACTCGTGTTGTAATAAATATGGATTGTAAAAATACAAATACAAATAAAACATAGTAAGACTATTATAAATAAAAAGCATAGATTATAAGCAATTTCCAATTTTTTCAGACCCCTCAGAAATATTATTCTGATTTTTTATTTTTGTGCTGTTGTCTTTCAATTTTTCAGAAATGCGTAAAAGACAGATTTTTTTTTGCGAATACTATAATTATCAACACGGCTTGACAATGTATTATTGATAAACATACGGACATAAGAATCATATATCTAGCATATATTTCAGGTGTAGTATAAACAAGTTCATGTATGCTTTAGTATATTACATATATTTTATTTAATTCTGGGTACCATTTTGTTTCATCGCAGAATGACATTTTCCTGGTATATACTTCAAAAACTAGGATAGCATTTCATGCTTTCGTAGCAAAGCTTATAAAATGAAACTTGTCCATATATTAGTTGACGGCATACTGATTAGTTGCTTTAAAAGAAATGATTTTGATATAGTTTTTCTATTTATGAAGAGATAGTCTTGCCTTCGATATAATTTTTTTTATTATTGAGAGATATTCTAGACGTCGACACCATTCTTTATGGAAACATTCTAGACTTCTTCACTATTTTTCCGAGTTTTTCCGAGTTGCTACAAAAGACCCTTTTTAAAAATCATCCCATAATAAATCCATCTTATAGTGACATTATTTGAGCAGATATCAAATATACTTAAAAGATTTCAACTGGTTTAACAAGCCATTACATACAATGCATGCAAAAATGGGACTCAGATTTCTTAAAATTGCAACACAATAAGTAGAATTATTGTAAAATAATATGTTTACTTTGATTTTCAATATAAATAAAGAGATATTGTATAATTGCAAATGAGACGACTATCTACCAGAGACCACATGACAAGGATTTACGCAACTATATAGGGCAATGTACGGCATTCAATGATATGTATTCTGTAATGTTTAGTGTGGTATGAAAGGTCCCGGCATGCTAAAATGTAAACCAACATGAAAAATCGATGAACAGACATTGCATACATCAAACTACGACAATTAAATTCCAGGCTCCTGATTAATGACAGGCGCAACAAGAATGTTGCGGGGTGAAACTTACCAGGGACAGCGCTGTAACAGCACAGCATCAGAAGGAATTGTAAAGATTTGTTGAACCAGTACCTCGGTACTGACATGATTTATAACAAACCTTTCTATTATTGTCCGGTTATTCATTTAAAAGTATAAAGAAAGTAAGGTTACAACTCCCTCAGGCAAAGTTGACCTTATATGGTGTTCGGTTCTTGTGCATCATTGGCTTTCAATATTCCGTTTTGAGCATTCCTGATGAAGGTAAATCCAGGGAAGCGTTTCGGACACATGAAATTTACAACGTGTTCTTTTCATTTTTTTAGAAAGGTTTGTCTCAACGAATATGCAATAAGCACATGCAAACAAAAAGTAAAAAAACACGAAACTAGCCCAAAGCTGCTTTCAACTAATAAATAAACCATGTTTTCCCAGACTTAAATATCGATAGTTCACATTCAATTGATTAAGCGTAAAGACATCGTAAATAGTTTGAGAAAAAACTTACTTCTTAATGCCAAAATATTAATATCGATAGGATGTTGCATCAAAAGTGGTTCATAACTATGCTATTAAATATATTTTAAATATTTTTAATTTATTGAATACAAATCATTCAGATTTTATTAATAACGTTTTCTACCTAGCATCCGAGAAAAATACACACAGAGTTTAACCCACTTACCAACCCAGACTTTGTAAAATAAGATCTTGATGGCACTACTAATTGGAACTACGTCATCTCCATGCCTGATTTACTTGTGCCAATAAAAAATAAGTAGATCTTATATAATTACCAATGAGCCAACTA